GGTCCCAAGCCCCAGGTCCCCGAGAACGCAGCCCCCCCTTTTCCTCCTTTTAAAGCACAACCCCGGGGAGAGGGGGTCCCAGGCTCCCAGTTTCCCCCCCCCCCCCCCCCCCGTGAGATAAAAGCGCTTGGGCCCATTTCTCAGGCTCGGAAGCCAAGGCTGAGGGAGGTGAAGGCATCTGCCCAAGGCCACACCGTGGGGAGGGGCGGAGGCTGGGACCTGCACCCAGGCTGGTGTGGCTCCGACATGGAGCTCCATGTCCCAGGCCCCACCGGTGGCAGCTGGAGGCCCCGCCCTGCCAGTCCACTTGGCTGGGCCTGTTTCCCGGGGGAGTCCAGCTTTTCGGCTTTCTGGGAAGGACGCTGTCCCAAGGGTGGCTCCTGCTTCAGTGACCTCAGCGGTCCCTACGCTGTCATCTGCATCATTATTCCTTGGCGGCCATGCTTGCCAAGGCCTTCCCTTCCCTCAGCGATGGGCCTGCGGTCAGGAGGGCGAGCTTCTGGGGAGCCAGCACCAGCCGAGGTGTGGCCCCGGCTGGGGGACAGGGGACAACAACTGCTGGTCAGGGAAGCCCACGGCACAGGAGGAGGGGAGGGCAGCGCTGGCGAGGACCCGCAGGCAGAGGCGGAGCACAGGGCACAGGAGGCCAGAGCCTCGCTCGGCTGGTCCCCGCCCAGCCTTCCCAGGTTCCTTCCGGAACAGCCATGAAGTGGAGTCCCTGCCCAGGGAGTGGGCACTCGATGCCAGCTACACACTCCGCCTAGCTGACAGAGCACAGGAGGCTGCGCCGCCTCTGGCCCGGGAACCAGAAGAGCCAGCGTCTCAGTTGCTACCCAAGGTCCCACACGAGGCAATCCCAGAACCCAGCATCCTGCTCCAGCAGAGAATGCTGCCACCAGCCACAGGCACCGGCAGGCCAGGCCCTTGCAGTCACCGGGAGGGAGGGGAGTGTGATGGACGAGCCCGCCTGGCTGCCAGGTCCCCCTGAACCCCCTGGTACAGGCTCCACCAGCACCTGCCAACCTGTAGGTTCCCTCCAGGCCTCTGGCAGCCACGCGTCTGCACAGACCAGAGCTGCGGAGAGGTCACACCGGGTCTGCAGGGAAGCGTGGGAACTCGGCCGGGTGGTGGAGGGCCCGGCATGCGAGGCCAGGAACACCTGGGTGCCGCCCTCCACACCGCTCCCATGCACACTGCTGGGCGAGGGGTCAGAGGACCCACAGACCAAGGTGACAACACATCAGGCCACCACGTGCGCCCTTGACACTTTATTGGCCAGCTCTCCCCGCTCCCGAGCTGTCCCACCAGAGACGCTAAGCAGCTGCACTGGCCCTGCCGGTGGGACGGAGCCAGACTGGGCCCCTGGGTCCCTCAGCTCCGGAGCTGGACTGGGGGTGCCCTTGCTCTTTGCTGCCCCGGGAAGCAGGAAGGACACCCCTCCCTTCCTTTTGCCCCAAGTCTCCTAAAATGGAGAGCAGGGCACCCAGAGCCGTGGGAATGCGCCAGCACCAGCTCTGGAAGGCGCCCACCTCTCCCAGGAGCAGTCCAGGAGGAAGTGTCATCCGGGCACTCCGGCAGGCTGGGGCACTGGCCAGGCGTCCACAGGGCAGCCACCGTGCGGCCCAGACCTCCGGATATGCAGGAACCGGGGCCTAGGACACAACAACAAGGAGCCAATGCCTGGGCCCAGGGAGGAGCAGGGAGTGGGAACAGCACCCTGTCCCCAGCCGGAGCCGATGGGCCAGTGGAAGGACCCGTGGCTGTGGGGCTGGGGGAGGGGAGCCTCACCTCCCGCAGAAGTCCTTGCGCACAGCCACGAGCTCGAGGGACAGGCCCGGCCGGCTCTGAAGCCAGCTGCCGACCAGCTCTGGGTGTCTGGGGTCCACTTCTAAGAAGAGGCTTCTACATGGGGGAGAAAAGGGCCAGCTCAGCCGGGCAGGGCCGAGTGACCACCAGGGCAGGCACAGGACACACTGACCAGGGGACCCGTCCCCTCCCTACCCGCAGTCCTTCAGGAGCCGAGGGGCCAGGGCCAGGAGGTGCACGATGACGTCCATGCCCTTCTCCCCGCCGTCCAGGGCTGCGGGGTCTTCGTAGCTGAGGGGAGCAGGGGGTGAGAGCGGGACAGGCGCGCGGGAAAGTGTGCAAGAGCTGAGCAGAGCCTCCACGAGGGGCCCGTGCCCTTGCACGCTGGGCCGAGAGGACGGCTGAGGGCCCAGAGGAGGCCCCAGATGCCGGCAGCTCCAGCTCCCCCGATGGCCCACCGGCAGCGCACACCAGGCAGTGCCCCGGGCGTGAGCCTGTCTCCCCACAACAGGCTGCTCCTATTCTGGGTCTGGGGAGGCCTGGGAGCCTGGGAAGGGGAGCCAGCACCCTGACCCACGGCCACTGCCCGTGTGGGGGCTCTTGGGCTACCCCAGGCTCTCAGCCCACTGGAGAGCAGGATGGCTCAGTGCAAAGCCAGAAGTAGTTTTGGTCTCAGCTTTCCTGCCAAGTCCCCCATGACCTGGGGCAAGGCGCCTTCCCCCTCTGGGCCTCGGTCTTCTGTACAACGAGCTCCTTCGATGCATTCTGTCCTGTCTGACATTCTGCAGTGTCACCGCTGAGCCCTCCGTGGCCTGCAAAGCTCGGCCGCCCCCTCTCAGAGGCAGGAAACTGAGCTCAGAGAGGCCAGCGGCCGTCCAGGGTCTTCAGGAAGGCAGAAGCCGAACCCAAGTGGGTCTGTGGGCTCTGGAGTGAGCTCTCTTCCACCGACAGCACCCCTCAGCCTCTCCTCCATCCCTCCCCCACCCCCACGGTGGTCCTCCAGGGCAGACCCATCCCACTCGCCCTCAGGCCGGCCCGTCCCACCCCACCCCACCCCACCCGCACCTGCGGATCTCAGGGGCCAGCTGCGCCATGTCCTGGTGGAAGACGTAGGGAGGGTTGCTGACGAGCAGGTCCATGGGGCCCCAGGGCAGAAGCTGTGCCCAGCTGCCCTCTGTGGTCACAGGGAACCCAGCAGAGAATGGGAGGTAAGAGTGGAGCTCGGCCCACCACCATGCCCCTGGGTCACCCCTCTCCCAGACGGTCTTAATTAAAGGATTTCTCTTGAGCTTCTGCTTATCTCTTGACAACAAAGCAGGCGCTAGATAACGCATTAGTTACAGGGATTTGGAAGATAAGACCCTAGGGCTGGTCCCCTCCAGGGTCAGGTCAGCCCAGGAGGCAACAGGGACTGGCCTGTCCTCAGCAAGGACTGGTCTAATACCCCCTGTGTGCATGCATGTGCGCACGTGTGCATGTATGTGCGTGTGCATGCGTGTACATGTATTTGTGTGTGTGTGTGTGTGTGAGAGAGAGAATAAGTGTTGGGAAGCCTCCCCCAGCTCTGCAGATGGCCTCATCCACCCAGCAGCCCTGTCCGCAGGGCCCCACCCCAGGGAAGCTGGGTGAGGAAGGTACCTAAGGTCACATCGAGGGGGGCGATCCGGATCCTGTCCTGCAGCTGAAGCCTGGAGAGACGGGAAGGGCTGAGCACAGGGCGGACTCCTACCCTTGGCTACGAGGCCTGGGAGGATAAGCCCTTCCCGGGCTGTGAGACCCCTGGGCCCAGGATCCACTGTATCCCCTGGGAGCCAGCCAGGCTGCCCCAGTGCCTCCCCCTTCTCGGGAGTGGACGTCGGTGGGTTTGCTACCTGAGCAGGGGCTGAGTCAGGCCCGAGCCTGGTGCCCCGCACCCTGACCTTCCGGTCCCTGAGCCCGCCTACCTCTGGGCGTTCTCTCGGGCCAGGGAGATGGCGGCTCCTGCCTTATCCACAGCGATGACTCGGCTCTGCCCCAGGAACACGTGAAGGGCACATGGGCGGCAGGTGCTGGGAGAGGCCAGGCCTGGGAACACAGCCTCACAAGACTCGGGCAGAGAAGGAGGGATACCACACCTCTCCCTCCTTGCGCCATGTCCTGTCAGATGAGGGGGTGGGAGGTGGAGGCTGTGACCAGGCGGGCTGGGCTGCCCTAAGCCTGGTAGCTGCCCCTCCAGGGCTCCTGGCAGAGACGGGAGCAGGGCCAGTGAGTACCAGCCAGTCTCCTGGGAGGGGAGGGGTGCTGAGGACACTCACCTGGGGCAGCTGGCTCAGCAGGCTGAGGGAGATGGCTCCCGACCCACAGCCCACCTCCAGGATGAGGGGGCCGCCTTGGGCTCCCACCGCACGGGGCTTCTGGGCCACCTCCTCCAGCACCCACTCGACCAGCTCCTGCAAGGCAGCGCGGTCTGGATCAGAGGAAGGGTCAGCCTGGCCCCGCGGGTCTTGGCACAGAGACCAAGCCTCCTGCTGGGAACCCACCCCCAGGAGCAGCGGTCACCTGCCCCAGGAAGCGAGTCCGAGGCAGCAGAGCTTGGCTGGCGGCCCGCCTTTCCTGTTCCAAGCCCCGCTGCACCGAACAGCTATGCTTCCGAGGGAGATGACCTGGCTCCAGGCAGAGGCACTGCCCTCAGGTGCCCCCGGCCTGTGCCAAGCCCCGCGGAGACTCGGGTGCCGGCAGCAAACTGGGCCCACGGTGCTGGGCCTGGCACCGAGCAGCTGGGGCTGTGGCCGGGGCCTGCGGTCTCGGTGGCGAGGCCGTGCGCCGAGCGGCTGGTGGGAGGCCGAGGCTGTCAGGTGGGAGGCTCTCTTGGTTTCCTGGCCACAGACAGACCTGCTCTGGCTGGAGAATGACCCCTCAGCCGACCACACTGGCCACCACTTCACAGTCACCCCAACCTCAGAGACACGAGCCACAATGTGAATGGCCGCCCGGGCAGGCTATGAGGCTGGGACTGTGCCCGCCGCCTCTCTCTCACACACCGACCACAGGAGGGTCCTCCGGCTGTGGAACCACCGGGGGGGGGGGGGGGGAGACCACACCCAAGGAGCCCCGACACTCCCTTCCTGACCCTGTGAAGGGCCTCCCTCAGCGTGAAGGAGGCCCCTGGAGGAGGCTGCGAGCCAAGCCGGTCACAGGCCCAGGCGCCTTCCCCAGGTGAACGAGGACAGAGTGGGGTGCGGGCAGAGGGGCACGCAGGAGGGAGACGGGGAGCAGGCAGCGGTCGGCTCTGCCTGGAGCCACTGCCTCCACAGGACCCCACCCCCTCAAGAGGCTGGCCCGGGCCTCAGCAGGACCTGGTGCCACGAGCACCCCTGCCAAGACCTCGTCCCTGTGGGGTGTCCCTGTGGGGCGTCCCAGGACGGTGCACTGCCTCCCTCCAGCCCATCACAGAAAGGCCCTGAGCCTCCCGCACCCCGCAGAGCCTCACGCCCAGGCCGTACACCCCGCAGGCTGGGCCCGAACCGCCTCCCACCACAGGGAAAACCTGACCCGCCAGGCCACACGCCTACCACTTGGCATCTGACTTCTGGCCCCGTTATCAGAAACCACCCTCCTGGGCGAGAGAAAACAGGCACCGTGATCCCTCGCATGTACCCGCGCTCCCGCTGCCCGCCACAGGCCACGTCCTCTCCAGTTCCTGGTAAGGCCCCCCCGGTGTGGCTTCACACTGGGGTAAACCGGGCAAGTTCTGAGAAATGTCTGTACAGTGAGGCGAGGACTTGGGCTCCCAACCACAGCCCCCCCCCCCCCCCCGCCTCCCGCTGCACAGAGCTGCTCTCTGGCCCAGACCCCGCCAGGAAAGGGGGCCACAGTGGAGCCAGAAGTCTACACTCGGACCTGGGAGGACATGACTGGGGCCAGGTCAAGCCTAAGGGGACTCAGAGGTCACCACGGTAGCTTCCCTCCCAGACCCTGACCCTTGGCAGCTTCAGGGAACCCTGAGTGACCTCCTGGCTAGAGGTCACATGCTTGGGGGAGCCACAGGGCCTCCCAAAAGCCTGCAGGTGGCAGGCCACATCCTACTCTGTCTCAGCTCCCCTTCCCGGCTCAGCCAGCCCCATGTGGGACAGGCCCATGGGATTTATGGGGCCCTGACTGGGAGTCAGGGTGTCTGAGTGCTGCCCCGTGCTGCCCGCTTCTTCCCACCCCGCAACCGTGCCAGCCCTCAGCAGCCCTGTGACTTCAGCAAGGTCTGAGGTTCCTACTGTCCCCCCTGACACTGGGCAGTGAGGTGGGTCCCTGGCTGGGCAGGCAGATAAGGCCTGGTCTTTCCCAGGAATGTTTGTGTTTCTAGAAACACCCCCTTCTCAGAACTTGGCACCCTCTGGCTTCCCCCACCGGCCCCCCCAGCCCCAGCCCCTGCTCTTCCCTGGTTCCAGCTCTGCCACCTATGAGGACAGAGGGAAGCCCAAGAAGAGTCACAGGAACATCCCGGATCGGGGTGCCCGGCCAAGCGACCCTGCTGGGGCCACCTCCCCAGTCCTACCGACGTGAGGGACAGAGGTGATCGCTTCACCAGATGGTAGATCTAAAAGGACCCTCGTCTGGCCCTAGCTGGCTTGGCTCAGTGGATAGAGCATCGGCCTGCGGACTGAAAGGTCCCAGGTTCGATTCCCGGTCAGGGCACATGCCTGGGTTGCGGGCTTGATCCCCAGTGTGGGGCATGCAGGAGGCAGCCGATCAATGATCCTCTCTCATCATTGATGTTTCTATCTCTCTTTCCCTCTTCCTTCCTCTTTAAAATCAATAAAAATATATAGAAAAATAATAATAATAAAAAAATAAATAAAAGGACCCTCGTCTGGAGGCCCAACCCGCTCATCCTCTGGGCCCAGAGGGGGCAGTGACCTGCTGGGGTCACACGGCTGTACCAGGCCCCCAGGTCCCCAGCGAGAGCCCTCCCGGCTTTGTCTCCGCCTCCCGAGAAAGAGGACATCCGTTTCCTACAGGTTCTATGGGTTGGGCAGGCCACTGGCCCGAGGGACGACGCCCAGGGGAACGACAGGCACAGGCGAGGCACTTGGTAAACAGAACCAGTTGCGGTTCCCAGAGCCACCGCAAGCCCTGGTGGCAGGGGCGATGGCTTGGGATAAAAGGACAGTCAAGGAAGCCAGCCGGAGACTTCTGTCCTCTGGGCCCCATCTACCCAACCAGCCAGGACACAGCGGCTTGCCTGGAAGGATAGCAGCCATGGGGTCCCAGCGCCCTCTGGAGGAAGTCTGGGGCAAGACAAGTGTTCTGAACCCCACACTCCTCCCCAGGCGGCTGTCCTGTGGGCACACCTACCTCTGTCTCCGGCCGAGGGATGAACACTGGGGGTGCCATCTTCAGAT